TATATATATATATATATATATATATATATATATATATATATATATATTATATATTTATATATTTAAACATTGGTTTCATGGTATAAGCTTTAGCCAACACCCCCCCAACGGTCCAGCAAAACCTTTCCTTTTGATTTAATTGGGAATAAGTCAATCTATATTCATGCATTTAGGAACTATCCAACCCCTCAAAATTGACAAAACGTTGCTAATAAACAACAACAACAAAAAAACAAGTAAACAACAACAACTAGTTAGGGTGTGTCACCTTGTTTGAAGGTGTAGATGGTGTCGCTGGCAGACAAGTTCGTGCTGGTGACAAAGTTTTCATGGTTGGATGCCTCAACCTCAACTCGAGACCAGCGCTCCAGGTTGCCATGGAAACCGCTCACCTCACCTGTGGGTAAGGTGACGTTGGTGACTCGTCCCTCGCTGTTATATCTAACGGAACAAACAAAGATAGGTGTGACCATACACACACACAGATGATTATCACTCTCAGACACACACACACACACACACACACGTTCACCAGCCCCTTGTTTTATTGGCACAGAGTAAGTGTCAGCTATGATTTATAAGTGTAATTACCCAGCCGTGGCGTTTGAGACAGAGACTGAGCTGGCTGTGGTGAATAATTCACACATGTGTGTTTTAGTGTGTGTGCACTAGAAGTACAAAGCTAAACATGTATGTGATCAAAGTGTTGCAGCCATGTGCTTCTATCAAAAGTCTTAAATTAAAAGACAAGTTCCCCCTGTTGAGTGAAGGTAATGCACAAGGTACCACTAGATGGCACTCTAGTGCCTATGGTTCCTGTAAACTTTCACATGCAAACAGAAGCAAACCAAAAAATATCACAAATTAAATCAAAGAAAAGGTAAAATAATATAAAGGGGGAAATAAAGTAAAGATTATAGCAGGAAGACAAACTTACTCATAAACAGTCGTCCAACTATTCTCATCACTCTTGGTTGCTAGGAGACCAGTGTTGCCGTGGTAAGAGATGTGGCCGACGTCATGGCCCTGAGCGGACACCTTCCTCAGCATCCCACTGTTGCTGAGGGACAACCAGTACACCTGACCGCCGGCGAGCGCCAGCCAGAGGGGCACGCCGTGAGCGTCTCTTCTCACCTGGAGGCTGCGGCCGTCGCGACTCGTCATGCCAGAGAGAAGGCCGTCCATGCTGTAGGAGAAGTTGTACAGGTAGTGGCCAGTGATGAGGTGTTTGGTGGACATGTGGGAACCATTCTGTCAGAAGAGAGAAGAGGAGGATGGTATTATGAGTCAATCCATATGTGACACGGCTGTAAGTCCTCCCCAACAAGTGACTGGTGATTTATTTACAAAGAAGCTGAATCATTAAATGATAAACCTTGAATCTTCATAAAAAAACAGAACTGTACAAAATAAAACTAGTTTTATGACAAAAGAAACTGAACTTAACTAGTATTTGTTTGTCAATGTCACTCCTTGTTTATAAATAAAATAAAATATTCCTTTTGATTTTCAGATTTAGTCATTTTAATTTAACATATACGATTTAAACTTTGGATTGAGTTTATGACTAAAAGAAATAGTTTAAATCCCTAAAGATGACACTATTCTTTCAGTACAAGACAGTTGTACAAGGATTTACTTAATGAAAAATGCAGAGAATTAATTTCCCATTGCAGAGTAATAGAGTACAAAAAAATAATAAAAATATAGGATACTTTATAAAACATTTAACATTGTCCTATTTTGTAATTTAACAAATAAGTTAGACTTAAAATGCAAATCAGCTTGTTGGGAAAGAGATCTGGCAACCAAAGTTGTGCAAATGTGGACAAAAACCAAGATACACTAGTCCCTCGCTACGTCACGTTTCAACTTTCGCGGACTTGCTCTATCGTGATTTGTTGAAGTACAGTACTGTACATAATATTAAGGAAAAAGGTATCTCCATTTTGCAGCACGGTGGCGCAACTGGTAGAGCTGCTGCCTTCAGCGAGCAGGTCCTTGGTTCAAACCCCGATCCAGGGGCCTTTCTGGGTGGAGTTTGCATGTTCTCTCCGTGCATGCGTGGGTTTTCTCCGGGTACTCCGGTTTCCTCCCACAGTCCAAAAACATGCATGTTAGGCTGATTGGTAACTCTAAATTGTCCCTAGGTGTGAGTGAGAGAGTGAATGGTTGTTTGTCTCGTTTGTCTCTATGTGGCCCTGTGATGGACTTGCGACCCGTCCAGGGTGTACCCCGCCCCTCGCACAGTGATTGCTGGACATGGGCACCAGCGACCCCCGTGACCCAAAATGGAATAAACGGGTAAAGAAAATGGATGGATGGATGGTATCTCCATTTTGTAGTTTTCTTTCATTAAGCCTTCAATGTTTTGCCAGTCTAAAGAACTACGTTACCCACAAACCATCAGTTCACTTTCCAGAAGTCAACACTGCTTCCAACTGCTGCTTGCTGCAAACGGAGGGAAAGTTTTGCAACCAAAGTCAGAAGTAAAGATAATAAGCTCAAAGAACTGGCAGGAGAAAGGTCTCAAATAATCCTGAAGCTGAACTCATCTTTCAAGTTGTAGCTTCACTGCTGAGTAGCTGGGCTGGGATCCTGGGAGCTGCAGATGGTTGCGGGGTTCAGTCAGGTTCTGGTCACGTGGTGCTGGTCTGAACTGGGCCAGAGGCGATGGACTAATGGGCAGCCTTGCTCCTGGAGCAGCAGCACTGGATGGAGCGGTGGGCTTCAGTCATGCTGCACCAGGACTTTTTTCATCTATCGGGTCGGACGCTCCTGTTCTGCAGAACGCTTGTATGTAAAATTTTGTAGCTCCTGTACATATAAGTACTGTATATTGTTAAACTAGTAGGTTAAAGAGTTTAGAGGACTGATTTGTGGGCTTCATTGATGCAGGATATGTCTGCAGAAACAAACTGAGTCAGAATAGAACAGAGTTGGACCGGAACCAGAACCACTGCTGTTCTGCAGAGCTAGTAAGTAAAATTTAGTATGTTGTTAAAATGACGTAGGTTTAAGAGTTTATAACATTCCAAGAGTGTGGGAAGGGTTTCTAAAGCCTTAATATAAAGTTTACTGTACTTGAACTTGAACTACTGTATCTCCACTTTGCAATTTTTCATTTATTGCTTCAGGGTGTGGATCCCTCGCGATAAACGAGAGAACTTCTTCTTCTTCTTCTTCTGGCTGCTCTCTTCTTCAGGGGTCACCACAGTGAACTAACTCACACGAAGACTTGTCAGTTGTTCTTTACACCAGATGCCCTTCCTGACACAACCACAGACCACCGAGCTACCACAGCCCTCTGTGTGGAGCAGAGAGCTGCCGTCTAGGGCACAGAGGGAGGGGGTTAGGGGCCATGCTGAAGGGTTCAGAGTGGGGCAAGTGACAGTGGAGGTAGGTGTGGGTACTTCACCTTTCCCACCCACATTTTGATGTTGTTGGTCTGAGGAATTGAACCAGTGACCCTCCAAGCACAGGCCCACCTTCTAACCAAACATGGACCACTAATTAATATACTTTTACAATGCCCAATTTGTACCGTCATTAGTGTTTATTTAAAGTAGAATTTGTGTCACTTGATTTAAATGAAGACCTGTAGATGTATTTTAAGTCTGACTCAAACACACTGCTTCTTTGTGTGGAAGCATGGACAAAATCTAAAGAAATCAGCCAAGATATGAGAAAGAGAACCGCTGAACTTCACAACATTGTGGGGAAATTTTGAAGAAACATCTCTAAACATCCGACAGGAAGTTAAAGCTTTAACTTAAAAGGGTCTTTAAATGTACAGTCACACTCAGCATATTGCCAGACCAGTTACAATGTAGCTCAAGGACAATAAAGTCCATGTTTTGTAATGGTAATAAAGTCCTGACCTCAGTCAACATTAAAAAATTGTGGACAGGGCTGACTAGATGTGTGAGTGAAGCGGCCCTCAAACCTGGCTTAGTTACACAACTTTTGTCATCGGGAATGGGACAAAATTGCAGCAAACTATTGTGGACATCTTGTGCAAGGATACACGGACTTTCACCTCAAGTCATATAGATTAAAGACAATGCTACTAACTACTAAAAAATGTATGTAAACATTTGACTTCAATGAAAGCAATACAAAAACTTGCAGTACTTGTGTCTTATACAGCTGTATATATCCTAAAGAGTAACTTTCGACATTGGCTATGTTTGAAAGCACAAGTAAATTCGTCCACATCTGGACAGAAAACATCTACATCCTCTGACCTTTACACATCTGCAGCCTGCAGACAGTGTTTTTATAGACAGAGCTTCGGTGCTGTTTACCTGGCTGAAGAGATAGAGCTCCCGGTCCTGTGGCGAGCTGATCTCCACCAGTCCAGCTGGGCTGGGCTGAGGCTGGTTGGGGCTGACGGCTCTGATCCGAATGTTTCCCAGATCAGCAATATACAGAGTGCCATTGGGGGCCACTGCCAGGGAGGAAGGGGCTTTGAGTCGAGCGTCACGGGCGTACCCTCCATCTCCTGATAAAATGCAACAAGAGCAAATTACGTGTTTATTAACAACAACAAAAAGGCAGAACAAAACTAAGGCCCTGTTTACACAACGATCCAACGAAAACTGAAAATTTTCCCATTTCTATAAACACATTTACATGAAAACGTCCTAATTACAATCTCTGTTTACACAGCAACGGTAGACATGTAATTCCCTCACCACACCACTAGTTGATGCTATGTTCTTTGAAACTTGAAACTCTAATTGCGCATGCGTAAAAATAAAAAAAAGTTCTACATGAAAGCCGCTACAACAGTCGAGATGGCAGAGAATAAAATATTGCTATGGCCAGACGACGAGGTTCAACTGTTGGTTAGGGTGAGTGGAGCTGCATGAGATCCATCTTCTGTTATTTAAGTAAAGAGGTAGAAAATGAGCACTGTGTTGGACAGCCATAGTTAGATTTATAAGAGTTAGAAGCACAAACAATACAGTAGTCCCTCTCTACGTCACGGTTCGTTTATCACGAACTCGCTCTATCACAGCTTTACAAAATAAGATTTGACATGACACTCAATTGGCTGACTGATGGATGAGCTGCGCACTTGGCATGTAATATTTATTTAAAACAAATTATTTAGCACCTCCTGCACCTTTGTGCAGGCCTTACTGCTGCCGGATAAATATCCTGCTGCAGCTGATCAGTTGTTCAGCATGCAGCATGGAGAAGTGGGCGTGGCCAAGAGCGCTTATCGGTGGCAAAGAGCAGACGAGGCAGGGAGGTGGAATCATGACGTTCTGTGATCTTTTAGAGCGTTTAGAGTTTAGAAACATTGTTTAGAATATTGCAAGAGTGTGGGAAGGGCTTAAAATGCCTTTATATATATATATATATACACACACATATATATATATATATATGTGTATAATAAAATAAATTACTACTTGTACTAATATTCCTACTTAGCAATGTTTCACTCATCGCGGATCTTCAGGGTACAGATCACACACGATAAACGAGGGAATACTGTACTCTGGTATCCACCACTGTTGATACTTTATTCTTCTGTGAATTCTAGGAAGCCATTCAAAAAGCGTTCAATACAAAAACATCTGGACTTTATTTGTAACAGAAGACGTTTTGCTCCTCATCTGAGGAACTTTTTCAATTCAATGAGCAAGTGAGTGAGAGATTGAATTGAAAATTGAAAAGCTGAAAAAGATTGAAAAATTGAAAAAGCTCCTCGGATGAGGAACGAAACGTCTTCTGTTACAAATAAAGTCCAGTTGTTTTTGTATTGAACGCTTTTTGAATTGATCATGTCCTGGATGACTGACAATCTTCACCAGCGTAGGAAGCCATTGTGTTTTACGTCATACTGCACGTGAGCCAGGGATCCCCTGACAGAAAATATCCATTTTTTTTCGGTTTACATGACAACGGACACCGGGACGTTTTTGAACCATTGCACTCTGGAACCCGTAGTCACATCGTGCCGTTGTCAAAGAAAACATTCACTGTTTTTGTGTAAGTGAACAGTACAAATGCAACGAAACTCTTCCATTTTCACCAGAAATAGTTTTCATGTTAACAGGGCCTGAGACTCTGCTCAGAATCTTTTATTTCCTTTGAAAGACCAAAGTCACAACAGCACACACAGCTGTGTCGTCATAAGACGACCCCATGATGGTGCTGAGGCAGTTATCAGTTTAGTTCAGGACTCTGCCTTTTTGGGACTCCTAAAGCAGAGTGTCTGATGACCACCTTGATAGTGACCCGGGTCCTATCAGACAGAGGTATCAGGTTCATCAGGAGCCCGTTTCTTTGGTGACACGGTGGGAAGATCGCCTGTGTGAGGGCCTTCAAATGCTGTCAGCAGCGGAGCGGGGGCCCCTGATGGCTCCGTACAGACAGCAGGGTGGCAGTTTATCTCTTGCCAGCACGCACATTATGCGTGCGTGTGCATGTTTTAGAGCAAATGTGAGCGTTTGTGTCCTTTTGTATTTGCCGGTGTGTGCTGACGGACGTGCGCATGTTCAAAGGCTCCGCGTGAGTGTTTACGGTGAGGGGATGGGAACGGAAAGCCTCTGAAGAGAGTAATCATCTGTTAACAGCAAGACATGATTGAAAATATGCAAAGTACAATCCAAGGAATAGGGGATGGTTACAGCCCACTGGTTTGTGGTGTGGCAGAAACACTTCCCTCCGTTTTGAATAGGAAAGAGACAGATTTTTATGAGCAGAATTAAATGATAAAATCACATCCTCTGACACTTACAATGAAAGCTTGGCCTAACTGTCAAAGGAACATCTGCGTATTTGTTTCCTCCTTCCCTCTATCCCGTTTTAGGTGCCCTTCAACGACACACAAACCAGTTTAAGCATTTGTCTAAAAAGACGGAGCTTTTCTCCTCTACAGCTGTAACTTGAATGGGTTGAAACGTTTTAAACAAGTTTGTTCTTACTGAAATTTAGCTGGAGGGTTTTTGTAAAAAGGAAGCTTTGCTGTGATATAAAAACATTTCCACACACACTTTCTGCATCTAACATCAGGCAACATCTCCATCTAATTCCATTCTCCATTGAGATAATATAACCAGAACCCTCCATCCTATATGTTGTCATCATTTACTTAAACTTCATTATCCTGCTTTTTTTGGTATTTTTCAAAGGCAGTGGGAGCTGCCCCTCCCAGACATCAAGATTCCAGCTGACTTTAATAATTCAGAGTGGCTGAAAGTAAAGAGGGATACATTGCAGGAGACGGACAAGAGGAAAACTCATTCTCGAGCACTGCTAATAAATTTATTAGACAGCTCAGGCCCACAGGCAGCAAGATTTACTCACTTGATATCAAGACATACTGACTTTATCAAATCATGTTAGCCCTTCAAATTGTCCATTTGTTTTCTATAAATCTTTTTCCGAAGCAGACAGAGGAAGATTTTACGACTTGATTTCTAAATGCTGTTATATGATTTTTATTTTATTTTAATGTTTTAATCCTATTAGACATGCATCTAATATTCTGTCACATTATTTAATCCTGCAGTCATGGAACAATGTGTGTGTGTGACACCCACCAGAGAAGCAGTCACAGTTGGGGTCTATCTTACAGTCACAGTCCGTGGGGGCTCCTGAGATTATGGCTATTTCCCCGTTGGTGGACACCTGTGGATTTTTGGAAAACCAAGACTTTACCTTTGATCAGAAAACCAGAAGATACTGAACAAACTCACTGCTGTTTTATAAACAGTTTATGTTAGGCAGTTAGGAAATGTATAATAAAAAAAAATGAAGAGGTACTGTAATATCAACTAGAGAAATTTCATTTCCTGCGAAAATGTAGTGTGAATGCTTATTGCAGAAGAGCTTGCTGAAAAACAGCTGAAATTAGCTAAAAAAAAAACTCTGAAATGTAGCTGAAATGGAAGAACAAGCCTAAGTTACCAGAAGAAAGTAGAAATAACACATTTGCTGAATTTAGTTTAGAGAAGAAGAAATGAGCACAAAAAACTGTAATTTAGCTAAAAAAAAAAAGCTGAAATTAATAAAAAAAACAGCTGAAAAGCAGCTAAAAAAAAAGAAAGAAGCTTAAACTAACAGAAGGAAGTGGAGAGAGCACAACTGTGTTGAATTAGATTGAAAAGTTTAAATGAGTAAAAACTGTGGAATAAGCCAAAAAAACTAAAACTAGCATAAAAAGAGCTAATTAAGTAGCTGAAACTGTAAAAAAAAGCTTAAACTAATAGAAATAAGCTGAAAGGCGTACAACAAGCTAAAATTATCAGAAAGAAGTTAAAAGAAGCACACATGTAGTTAGCTGAAAGGAGCACAGAACAGCTGAACAAACAGCTGAAAATAGCTGAAAATAAGTTTAAATTTTCACAAGGAAGCAGAAAGAAACTGAACCAGAACAAAATGTGAAAGGAGCAGTAAAAGGTTGTGAACAGATCTAAATATTTGAAGGATGTAAAATGAGCTCAGTTCATTTTCTGTGAGAAAAAAATGGCAGAGAAAGCTAAATATTCCAAACATCTAAAGTTGCACCAATACTAAAAGTCATAGCTGGATTGTCCTGAAAGAGCTGAACGTTTTGATATGATTTGTGGAAATAAGTTGAAAACTGCAAGACGAGAGCGATGTCGAAAAACGTACACAGGAAAAATGGACCTACTTGCTTCACAAGCATTCACACAATAAATAAATATAAAGGCCTTGAAAGAATGCATATCACCTGCAACCTTAAACTTAAGCTGTGCTGTGGGGGTCACCGTGCATCTGCAACCCCCCAGCCTCTCACTGGGTCACTGATATTGGAGGGGCAGGTGGTGGAACAGGTTGGTGTGTTGAAGAATTTAGGTACTGAGTATGTGTCCTCACAACATGCAGGGGTGTGTGTGTGTGTGTGTGTGTGTGTGTGTGTGTACAAAAACACAAAACAGCACGTTCCTCCTGAGAAGACTGAAAGGTTTCAAGGTCAAACAAGACATTTTAACTATAGTGCTCAGTGAGTGTACTGTCAATCATTGAGACTGCCCTTACATTCACTTTCCCATCATGGCACAAGTTCTTTACAGAAAACAAAACAAGAAAAACTCACTAGAATCAGCAAACAGGAAGCTAAACTGATCGGTACCCCTCAAATGCATCTCACTGAACTTTATGTTGTGCAGTCCAATTATAGCTGCATCACCAAGGACCCTTCACAACCCCATCACCAGTCATTTCAACTCCTACCATTTTAGAGTACTCCTGGCCAAGAAAACACTTACAAAAACTCCTGATTCATGCTCAATAATCCAGGTAGAAAAATCCAACAAAGTTCAGTCTGGTCCTCTGGACGGTTTCTTTTTCTTGAAACTAGGGATGCACCGATATATTGGCCCCGATTTACTTAATTATGGGAGATCGGAGATCGGCCGATACTTGCACGAGAAACCAGTTTTACCAGGATTTTTTTGTAGTTTTAACAACAATTGTCTAAACTTCATTTATATTTCAGAGCACTGCCTCATGGGCAGTTAAAACAAGTTCGTATTATTTCTAGGATATTGTTCAAGGCTATTGTTACGTCCACTGATTTCTAGGGGGTTCTCTTACTAGAGGACAATCTTTCTCCTCCTTTGCTTGTTTACAGGCCTCCTGTCTCACCATGCTGTCTCACCATGCTGTCTCACCATGCTGCACACCTGGAATCACTTCCTCCTCATCAGTGGACTGCATAAAAGCTTCAGGGATCCAGTGCCACACCCCTTTTCTCCTTGGGCATTTCTACTTGGTTCTGTGCAGTGCAGTTGACTCTGAACTCTGTACAAATATTTTAGCAACTCTGAATTGATTTCTGTTAACTTCTGTGAACAGTTCTATTTAAGAAACCTTTTGTTTAGATGGGAAGTTTGGTAGGGGTTCTCTGCCATTTAAATTTTTATCTAACTTTTCTGTTTTGTGGCCAGCCAGGGAGCCTAGGAATTGTAGTTTTAGTTTTGTTAGATAAGAGGTTATTTTGTTTTCTAGCCAGAAGGGGCATTTTTTTGTTTGTTGTTTGGGCCTTGGAGACCCTGACGTTCATGCTTCCCCTCTTGTCTGTAACACCCAAAAACTCTTACACAATTAAATTAATGTAATGCCAAGTTAGGTTGTCTGAGTTATTAGCTTTATGTTTAGTTTACATTTTTTGTGTCATACCTTGTACCTCCTAGACTTATTCCAAGGGTTGTAACAGCTATGTTTTACAATAAAAGAAGACTGGAAAATTGAAGGTGCATTGTGCATTTCAGGTCTCTCTTGTGAATGAGTTCCTGAGGCTCAATGGGACTAACCTATATAAATAAAGGTTGAATGAATGAATGAACTGTGACCTTATAACACCTGACCAGTAGCGATGAGCAAATGAAGCTTTTATGAAGCATTGAACCAGTTGGGCCAAATGTTTCAAAAATACTGTAGGTTCATTTGTTGAAGCTTCAGTTACAGTGACCTCTTGTGGCATTTTGCAATGCTGCTCCAATTAGGCGTTATGCTTTTGGTGGCACACACCGAAGAACTTCAGTGACTAGTGTTAAAGAAACTACATTACTGTGGTAAAAAAAAAAAAAACATACTTTTAAAATTAATCAAATTTCTATGTTGTCTGGTTTGAAAATGTATTCATGCTTACATGTTTTTGAATAAAGATTGATAAATGTGCATTTAAGAGATTTAATAAAAATGTTGTAATGGTATTGTGCTTGTGTAACTGTGGCAGAGTCCGAGTCTTTATCATTCTTAAAATAACGATGAAATGACGTCTCCAGCATCTCCATGTTTGGCGCTGAAGTGTCTAATCATAGAGGAGGTATCATGATGCTTCAGTTGAACACACCAAACACTGCACCTGCACAAATACACTAATACACATTAATTTGAGCCCATACTGATATGATTATTAAAGTCACATACATCATTTTACAGTAATTATATATAATACATGGGGTAAATGGGTTAGATAACATCACTGCTGAACATCACTATAACTTTTTTGACATTTAAATGCCAAAACCACCTTATCATGAGCAGAATGAAGTGTTCCCACATGTTAGAACGGCCTCTTTTCCTGGCTGCCTCCATAATTACTCAATGTCAACTATATTAACAACAAAACAGCAAAAACACACCTACTCTCCAACACATTGCAAACATTTTAGATCTGTTCCATAGTGTTGAGCTCTCAATTCAAAACTGTCTCAACCTGTCACCTGTCAGAATCGAGACGAGGCGGTGCCAGGGAATCAGCTGTTTGGACCGCGAACCAGTCAAGTGATTCATTCCGACAACGAAACAGTTTGTGTTTCGGACGTCACGTGTCACGTGACTTTTTCGGCACCAAAACAGGCTCCGAAGCAGTGCTCCGATGTAATTTGACTGCAGGGTTCGAAGCATGTTTTGAAGCTTTTGTTTCATATTACCATCACTACTGACCAGTGTCGCTTATAAAACAAAATCGGAATCAGCAGGTCGAGTTTTTTAGAGATCGGTGATCCGCCATAAAACTGCACTCGCACAACAATCAATAAAAACAAACTCTGATCCATACAGAAGTAAAATGTAAATACAGAAACACAGAATAAAGTGTTTTATTATTATTATTTTTGATAAATAAATGATATTGCTCTAAGTTAATGGATGTGGGTGGGGTCAAACATTATTACCAGAGCTGAGACTGATGCATTTCATCTGTTTGATTCAACCTCATTATTTATTTTCATTGTCAGATTTATTAGAACTAAAACTAAAATAAAACTATATTAAACCTTACTACATTCACTGTAGGTGCTTTTTAGTACCTACCATTTTGTAATTGTGTGCATGTGTTTCATAATTTTTCAGTTAGCAAAACATCTCATGAACCAGAGGATGATTATAAATGAGATAATGAATGCACATAAACTGAAAACGTTTTGTATTCTGCTTGACGTTAGATGGATGTCACCGCTAATCAAGCTTAGCAAACACAAAAATGGCTACACTTAGTCAGTTTTTGTATTTGGGATAAAATTTGTTGTGTTAGTAGCTGAGTTAATAGCCCATCACAAGAGTATGAACATATCACGTTAGACTTTTTAAAAATTATTTGGCATGCGATGTTTAGGGCAGTATGCATCACTTTAAAAATGCCCTTTTTAATACATGATTTCAGGTAAAAGAAGACATGGATTGTACATTTAAAGCTTAATTATAATTACATTTTGTGCTATTTCCTATTGGTAAACTGGCAAAATGATAAAATGTTCAGGGTTTAAATAATAAGGCTTGCTTTAAAAAAAAGTCTGATCTTTTCCATGCTTTGAAAATTGGGAAAAGAAAAATGCTAAAACTTCTGATAGCTTGCAATTTTGGAAGCAACACAACGCCAAAACAAACTTAAAAAAAAAACAAATGCATTGTAGGGACACATCAAGGTTTTTCTGCCATCAACTTTTATTATTTTGATACTTTGAAAGTAAGACTGACTCTCATTCCCAAAGCTGGACAGTAAGAAACCATGTTACAAAAAAATGAATAACAAAAATCTGTTATTGTAATTAATTGCACACCTGCTATTATGATTTCAGCAAAGCTAAACGTTCCTTTGTATGAGAACCTTTCCATCTGACCTTTGAAATATAACATCTGAAGCATTATGTGTATCT